GGCAAGAGACTTGACTCTAGAGGGGTTCCCAGGTGCCCAGGGCGATGTCCCCAGCTAGTTCCTTGGGCAGCTGAGGAGAGGGAGCCTGAAATGGCCCTATCCTATAGTCATACTGATGAATATCTTGCATATCACCATAGAACCTTCATCTGGCAATTGATGGAGATAGAGACAGAGACCCACATTGGAGCATTGGGCTGAGCTCCCAAGGTCCAAATGAGGAGCAGAAGGAGGGAGAACATGAGCAAGGAAGTCAGGACCGCAAGGGGTGCACCCACCCACTGAGACGGTGTGGCTAATCTAATGGGAGCTCACCAAGGCCAGCTGGACTCAGACTGAAAAAGCACGGGATAAAACCAGACTCTCAGAACATGGTGGACAATGAGGGCTGCTGAGAAACCAATGACAATGGCAGGGGTTTTGATCCTACTGCATGTACTGGCTTCGTGGGAGCCTAGCCTGTTTGGATGCTCACCTTCCTAGACCTGGATGGAGGACCTTGGACTTCCCTCAGGGCAGGGAACCCTGACTGCTAGTACTGGAGAGGGAGAGGGAGGGGAGTGGGGAGAGGGGGAGGGAAATGGAAGGCGGGGAGGAGGCAGAAATTTTTAATAAAATAAAAAAATTTAAAAAAGAAAAAAATAAAATGAACTGCATTAAGTACAATGCCTTAAACAAGAGTAGAAGCATATATACAGTATGTTGTAACAAAAATAACCTGAAATTCGTATCAATATACAAAATCACTTAAATAATAGTAGAAACATATATAAAGTATGTTAAAACAAAAAAGCCTGAAATTTGCATCAATATACAAAATTCATACCAATATAAAATATTTGAGATTAATAGTTGCTTTTTAGTTTAAAACAGATTCAATAATCTGTCCTTTTATCCTATCATTACTAGCCCCCCTATTTCTTTTCAGAAAAAAATCCTTGAATCCAACCTCTTTGCTTAGTTTTTTTCCTTATCATGACCCATAACAATTTGCAAACAGCCCCCCTAAATGATGACAAACATCCATATCCCACTGAATGAACAAAACCCACCCAACCCACCTCTTGGGAATGTGGGCATCCTATTCTTAAAATTATTTCCTACTGTCTGGGGTAATGGTACCTGTAGGGACCCTGAGAAACTTGAGAGAATGGTCAAGTCCTGGGAAAACTAGCTGTAGTATTTGTTGTCCAGCCTCAAAGCTGCTGCCATGTAGAGACCAGTATATACGTCAATGGTCTTGCAGGTTTTCTTGGTTTAATTTTTTTTATATCTGTAGTAAAGACTTTCAGGATGTCTGCCTTGATCAAAACTGATCTCTATTCACTTTGAAGGACTCTATAAACTTTCATTTTCTGTGAAAACAAATGTAAAGCCTCTTCCCCCAATGCAATACATTTTCTGACTTCCATTTTAAAGTTAAGGCATGCCTAAAGTATCTAGGCTGGTTTAGTTCAGCAGTCCCTTTGACAGTCCTGTCTCTCAGAAGCTGCTGTGTGCAGCGTCAAAACATTGCAGTCAACACAACACCATTCAGGATCCAGACTCCCGGTGAGTTTCTCATCTTTACATGGCTTATTCTTTTATATTCCTTTACTCTCTCTTTAAAGACTTTATTATTTATAAACTATTTTTTTCTATGACTGTCTATACCCATTTTTATGCACATTTTTAAACACACTGCAACCTGTTTAGAGGATTTTTCCATCTGGATCCGTCTTTATTGCATGTCTCTAGACTTTTCTGACCGCATGAACCAAACCTCAAACTGCTAAGCAGCTTTGCTGTGATGGGTGGCTCTGCCCTGCTCAGGTCCACGAAAGCCAAGCTTTATGGCTGAGAGCCTGACCAAGAGCTGCATTCAACTGGGAGCTGAGTCTAACCGGGAACTGCATTTAACAGCCCCGGCTCTGGGAGGTTGGTGCCTACACTGTGACAAGCATTTTTTACTTAGCTTGCTGTTCCTACTCAGAATACTCAGACACTGCACAACAGAGCCACGTACAGGAACCGTGTCCAGTTTGTTTCTTTATCTCTTAGCTTCCTTAGTCCTATGTGGACTAAGGAACAAAGGTAACATAATTCTTTTGGCCACCAACCAGCTCCTGGATCACGATATGGATACTTCTTATTAGTTATGAACGTTCAGCCTTATCTTATGCTTGTCCCACTAGCTCTTATAACTTATTTTAACCTGTTTATCTTCACTTAGGCTTTGCTTGGGGCTTTTTACCTTTCTTTCATTCTGTTTGTTTCACTTGTCCATGTCTGTCTGTCTGACAGCCAACTGGCCCCAGGTGTCTCCCTCATTCTCTCTTCTCTTTTTCTGCAGTCTAGATTCCTCCTCCTACTTATTCTCTCTGCCCGCCAGATCCACCTATCCCTTCACTGCCGAACTATTGGCTGTTCAGCTTTTATTAGACCAATCGGGTGCCTTAAGCAGGCAAGGTAAACAGCAACACATCTTTACATCATTAAACAAATGCAGCACAAACAAACGCAACACATCTTTACACAATTAAATAAAGTAATATCTGCAACATGCCTGTTTCTACTAGTGTGGCCCATTAAGCCTCATGTAAAGCACTCAACTGCTTTTCTAGTCTGAAGTCCCAAAGTCCATTTGCCTTCATTGAGCAGCCTGGTCAGGCTTGTCACAGCCGTACCCTGCTCCCTGGCACCAACTCCTGCCCTAGTCAGTGCTCTATGACCAAGGAAACCTTAATCAGTGTCTTGCTCAAAGTTTCAGAGGCTTAATCCATTACCATCGTGTCAGGAATGCAAGGTAGCACGGTGACACTGGGGAGTAGCTAAGAGCTAAGAGCTGCATCCTAGTCCACGGGCAGAGAGGGATGGGGCTGGCGTGAGAAACACCAGCAAGGCCACACCCACCAATCCTTTCAAACAGTTCCACTCCCGGGTGACTAAGCATTCAAACATATGAGCCTTGGAGAGCCATTCTTATTCAAACCACCACACCTAATGAGGTGACATGGCTCAGTGGTAGAGCACCTGCCTAGAGTCCCGCAGTGAGGGACTGGGAGCCCTGCCTAGCACTCACAAATCCTTGGGTTTGATTCCAAACATTGAAAGAAAAAGTATTTACTAATTAGCTAGGTTCAAGAATTTCAATCCTTAACAGCATCTCTATGGCTTCCTATGCATCCTGGAGGACACTGGAAAGAATTCGCTCACCAGAAAACTTAACACGGTATTAAATGACTGATACCCACTTCTCCCCTGAGAGTTCCCAGTCTAGCAGAGTGGAGAGGAAATCCTTCCCAAGCCTAGCACAGACCACTTCCCAATGGAGGTGGGGCCCCCAGTGGGACAGAAAGGCTGTAGGAAGTTAGCAAGTTCGGAGTTTGCATATGAAATGTTCCCACTGGCTCAAGCATTTGAACACAGGACACCTAGTTGGGGGCGCTGTTTTGTAGTGATGGGATCTTTTGGAGGTGGGGGGTCCAGACGGAGGAAATGGGTCATGGGGGGGGTCAGGTCTTGATGTTTAAAGTTCTGCTCCCAGATCCTCAGGAATATTCATTAGGGTTAAACCAGACAGCTTGTCAGCACCACCTGGTAACCATTGAAAACCCAGGACTGCCTGAGCCCTAGTGGCAGAGATTTTTGTTAAATGAGCCATGGGTGCAGCTTGAGCTGAAACCCTAGAGTGGAATAATAAGGTCATGTTGTTCCTCTTGCTAGGTAGGATGAGGTGGGCAACTGAGTGTTAGCTGAGATGGGAGAAGAGGACATCACGGGAGCTCTCTGAATGAAGACTTCTGGAAATGACATTGAAACTATGGCCTTGTGACCATGAGGAAGGCGAGCTGGTGTACCAAGGAAATGTATCTCAGATTAGAACCTTGGGAGGTGAAGGGAACTGGCTCCCTGATGGTGTCACTAAATTTAATCCCTGCTTTTTGTGTAGGACAACGCCATTTCTATTCTTGTTACTATTTATAGCCATGCAGAGTCTTACTGGGAAGCGGGTGAACTGTGCTGACAGGGGTTGCAAGCCTGGGGCTGACTTGAGCAAGAGGCAGCGATGGTCTGGGTGTATATTAGAAAGACTCCCTGGAACCAGGCTGGCCCCTGGTGGAGCAGAGACTAACGACAAGGAGGTAAGGTCTCTGTTGGAGTCAGAACTATGGCAGAGAAAAGAACCAGACATAGCCAGAAGTCAGTAAGACAAGGATGGGGGGTGCAGGAGTGAAAGGTTGGCATCTGGGGTCTGTTTCAGCATCTGGGTTGGTGGTGGGGCCATCTGAAAATAAAGAACAGGGACTGAAGACAGGAAGACGGTAAACTATTCTGCAAGGCCAAGGAGTGAAGGCATCTAGGAAAGAAATGAACTCAGAGGCATAGTCGAGGCCCGGGAGGCTCATGAAATTCTGGGCTCAGAAATGTAAGCCAGGACACTGCAGCATTTCAAGGTAAATTATTTGTAAACCGAGGGTATCTGTCAGAGAACTGCAGAGGGTGATGGGAAAATGAGTTCTAAACACAGAGTATTAGCTAGGGAACTGCTGTGTCTCATGGGAAACATAGGTTTGGGCCCAGAAGTAGCGTTCTGTGCGCGACAGAACTTCATGTAAAAAGACTATTAATTAGCCTGGTAACTGCAGAGGCTGGTGGAAAATGTGGTTCTGGACTCAGAATATTAGCCAGGGACCTGCAGAGTCCTATGATAAATGTAGTTCGTAGTCCAGCGTCTTGGCTAGGGCCCTGCAAAGTCTCCTGGGAAATGTAGTTTTGACTCCAGACTATTAGCTAGGAAGCCTCCTAGGAAAAGTAGTTAAGAGCCCGGGGAATTGCAAAGTCCTCTGAGAGATGTACTTTGGGGCTTACCCCACTGGCGAGAGACTTGCAGAGTCCCAAGGGCAATGTAGTTCTTCTATACCCAGATTCTCAACCAGGGGCTCCTGGGAAATGTAGTTCGAAGCTCGAGGACCAACTGTGCAGGAAAGCCGGTTCGCCTGCCCCCCAGGCCTGCTCACCTGCCTCCCTGTGCAAGCCGTGGCCGGCCAGGTTTGGGGAGCTGAGTGGCTCCACCCCTGACTGCATCCTGGAGAGGCGGGTCGGAGGAGGTCCAGGGAGATGGGGCGGCGTGTTCACACTGGACCACACACCCCAGCACTTTCCGTCGGCTCCTGCTTCTTGCTCTTTGAAACCACGTGGGACAAACACGGAACTGGAAGGCTGAGACCACAAGGACACGCGCGTTCCCCTAACCTCGGGGACTCGGTGTGCGCCCCAGTCTACTTCCTTCCCCGTCTCTCCCCGTCTTCTGGTCTCTCCACCCCTCCTGCCCCATCCCTGTCTTCGGTTTTCCCCCAACTTCTCTGCCTGCCTCCCTCCCAACCCCACGCCCCAGCTGTCCTCTACATTTCTCCCAGAAGACTCTCTCCTCTTCCCCTCCTCACTGGTCTCTCCCTCCATCTCCCCAGCCTTCTCCTTCAGCCTCCCCAACAGCTCCCTAGCCCCCCAGATTGCCCCCTCTTCATCCTTTGGAGTCTCTCCCCAACCCTGTCACCCTCTCTGAGCCTCTCTACTTCCCCTTCCCCTTCTCCCAGATTGAATCCTCAGTCTCTCTTCCATAGCTACTTCTGGCTCCATCCCCCTGCCGCCCCACCCCGCCCCTCTCTCATTCCCTGTCTGTGCCCACTTGCCCTCTGTTCATCCCCGACTAGGTACCTGGAGACAAACAGAGTTCTCTGGGGGGGGAGGGGGGAGGGAACGTTAGGCTGGGCCTGGTTACCATGGTGCCGCTAGAGGGGAAGCCGGGCTGGGGTTCATATTCCTGAATGTGGGAAAAGTGGAACTGAGGGCCAGGACCGGAGGCTTTATGCAGGCAGGTGCCCAGTTAGGCCGTCAGGGAAGTTTTGTCTCTGGCCCCCAGGCTCCCTCTTTGTATCTTGTATCACCCTCTTAACACCCCCCCCCCCCCACAGTTTGCCTCTCTAGCAGAAACCCTGAGGCTGGAATCCCTGCTCTCCCCTCCCAGGAGGTCTCTGTTGTGTTGTCTCTGCTGACTGCTTTCTGAGTGTACAGATCAATCCAGATTCTTTTTTTTTTTTTCAATCCAGATTCTGTAACCAAAGCTAGAGTCTCATTCTCTTTCTCTAAGTGGCGGTAGCCAGTGTGCCACCACCTTGCAGGTACAGAACTTGCTTGGAGCAAAGACAGGTGGAGGGGAAGACAGCCAGCTTTCCGGTGATTGGCTATGTCTGAAGGTCGCAATTCCCTGTTAGGAACTGAGAAACAAACTTCCGTCAGTCTAGCTGGTTTTGTTTGGGGAGGTGTTTTGATTCTGTCCGAGAGGGACTTTGGCAGCCGGTGAGAGCCCACGGTGGGTGAGAGACAGACAAATATGCCAGATAGGCAGACTTAGGTGAGGGGTTTAATGAGATGAAGGTATGGGGGGGGGGGAAGAGCTCTTCCACCGGCCCCTGTGGACAGGAGCTGTGGAAGTGGGGGATGCTAACAAGAGGTTTTTTTTTTTTTTTTTTTTTTTTTTTTTTTCAGGACAGGGCTCACCATGTATCACTGGAACTTACTATGTAGATCAGGCTGACCTCGAACTCACAGTCAGCCTGCTTCTGCCTCCTGAGTGCCAGGATTAAAGTCATGCCCCACTATGCCTGGCTGTTACTGGCAATTAAAAAAAAAAAGTCCATACTTCAGTGGTCTCAAACAATCTTCTGTGGCTATGAATTTCAGTGTTCTTTCAGAGAGAGAGGGAGGGAGGAAAGGAGGGAGGGAGGTTGGGAGGCATTGGCAGAGAAACCTGTTAAGTCTGGAGCGTAGCCCCCAGCCCCTGTCTTGGGAGTTGCATTAGTCTGGACTCCAAATCCCAGCATGCCAGGTCCTGACCCCTCCCTGGGGGGTCAGCACCACTCCCACAGGGTATTTGAGTGAGCTCCCAGAGGAGAAACACAAGGTTCCTGGTTTGCATAGGCTCCCTGCATAGGCTCTCTCCTCCCCCCCCCCACCCCACCATGCCTGAGAGTGCTGTACTTAATAAAACGATGGGCATTTTGATTTGGGTTGATCTGACCTAATTGGATTTCTTGCGTTGGCGGAGCTGCCCCCTTTTAGGATTTTTTTTTTCTTAACAAAACCCACAACCGGAGAATTTCAAAATAAGTATCATTAAGCTGCCTTCTTCAATCCCATCTCTGTAGGACAAGGAGCAGCACTGACTGCGGAAGCCCTCAGGGTGTAGGCGTGCACACTGACTGAGTGAATGAGTGCACTTCTGTGTCTCACAGTGCAGCCCAGCCCAGTGGACTGACCCTTCCTGGTCCTTGTGAGACCAAGCAGGTTGGCCTGGAATTCTGTGCGGCCTGGGTGACCCACTCTTTGTTGCTGTGATCAACACCATTACCAAGGCGACTTATACAAGAAAAGGTTTACTTGGCCTTAGAGTTGCAAAGGGATGAGAATCAATGGAGGCTGCAGGAACAGCAAGCTGAAAGCTCACATCATAACCACAAGCAGGACACAGAGCAAGCTGGGAATGGCTCCCTTTGAAGTCCCATAGTCTGCCCCGAGAGACACGCTTTTCAAACTGGGGATCAAGTGTTAAATGCCTTTTCCCTCGTCTCTCGCTAGTGACAAGGACTCAGTGGACGGCCTCTGTCCAGGCTCACTTTGACTGTCAACTCCACACAGCTGAGAGCTATCTGAGAGAAGCCTCCTCTGAGGAATCTCCTAGCGCAGCTTAGCCTGTAGGCACATCTGTTGGGACTTCCTGGATTGTTAATGGCTATTGCAGGACCCAGCTCACAGTGGGTAGGACCATTCCATAGACAGGTAGACCTGGAATTTATAAGAAAGATAGCCAAGGAGAGGCATGGGTAACAAGCAAGCTAGAAAGTAATTTTCCTCCATGGTTCCTGCCCTCAGGTTCCTGGCTTCCCTCAAGGACGGCTGTGCCCTGGAAGTGTGAGTCGAATAAGCCCTTCCCTCCCCTAAGCTGCGTTTGGTCCCAGCAACAGAAGAGTAGCTACAACTATCAATCCTCCAAACCATGTTGTCCTCCCTCTCTTTTTCTGTCTCTGTCTCTGTGGAACCCAGCCTAAGTTCTTAAATGAGTAAAATCAGATATACACATTTGTATTTTAATAAATAAAGCTCTCCTGAAGATCAGAGAGTAAAACAGCCACCCTGATCAGCCTTACAGACGAGGCAGTGGTGACACACACCTTTAACCCAGTAGCCACAGTAGTTTGGCTTAGAAACTAGGCAGGTAGTGGTGGATATTTTCAATCCCAGCCCTAGAGAGGAATATAAGAAGGGAGACAGGCTAACCATTTCAGACTGAGGTAGAGGTAAGAGGTAAGACTGTTTAACTTTTCTGACCTTCAGGTTGAACCCCAATATCTGTCTCTGGATTTCTATTAATCATGCTACATTTGACACCCAATATTTGGAGCATGAATCCACAAAAGAATTTGCCTGAGTGTAGGAGTTACTTCTGTTTGTGTATTGCTTTCATTGGTTAATGAATAAAGAACTGCCTTGGCCTAGTTGATAGGACAGAACTTAGGTAGGCAGAGAAAACAACTGAATGCTGGGAGGAAGAAGGGCAGAGTCAGAGAAGCCATGGATCCTCCACCTGAGATGGATGCTGGTTAGAATCTCCCGTAAGACTCTGCCACGTGGCGATACACAGATTAATGGAGATGGGTTAAACTAATAGGTAAGAGTCAGCCAATAACAAGTTAGAGCTAAGCCGGGCGGTGGTAGCGCATGCCTTTAATCCCAGCACTCGGGAGGCAGAGGCAGGCGGATCTCTGTGAGTTCGAGGCCAGCCTGGGCTACAAGAGGTAGTTCCAGGACAGGAACCAAAAAGCTACGGAGAAACCCTGTCTCAAAAGAAATTCAAAACAAAACAAAAACAAGTTAGAGCTAATGGCCAAGCAGTGATTTAATTAATACAATTTCTGTGTGGTTATTTCAGACTAAGCTAGCCTGGCAGCCTCACCTTGCAATACCTGAGGCTATTTCCCTGAGGATTTTTCTCATCTCCTTCCTCCCCCCAGCAGAGACCAGAGTTAGACCCAAACCTAGCCACCTGAGTTCCAGAGAAAAACTAGTACTCCCAGCTCCCATCTGCCCGGGCTTAGGCTCCTCTTCTGCCCTGCCCATTCACCCACCCACAGCTTCCCATGGCATCCACGGCTTGCTGCTGGCCCACACAGCACCCATACAGCCTCCTGTGCCCCCCCCACCATAGCTTTCTGTGACTCCTATGGTTCCTGCAGCTTGCTACCAAGCCTTCTTGCGCCTCCCATGCAGCTACCATGACTTACTGTGGCTCTGCAGCTTCCCTTGTCTCCCACAGCCCACCATGCCTGCTGCACAGCTGCTCTGATTGGCAGATCTTTAGCAAAAATCCCTTCAGTATGAGTTTTGAGTTCTGCTTAGAAAATTCCCAGGTTTGTGACTTCAGAACAACTAAGACCAGAGCTCCAAGGTCTCTGGATTGCTTTAGTAATGTAACTGTGACACCTACTGGCTCATATTGCTATTACACCTTAAAATTCTCATCTGAACCAGGATTTTAAAAGGGCTAAGTCATACGATAATGACTGATAATATCACCACCCAGGAATTTCTCTTTCTACTGTGGAGGGAATTTTAGCAGAGGGCTATGACCTACCTGGGATATATACATTCTTAGCCAGAGCTGCTATTAGTTTGATATGTCATAATACATTCTTAAAGAAATGGTTTGCTAACAGAGTCAAGAATGAGAAACTTGTAGAAATGATACAGACTTTACAGACTATAATGAGACGTTGGCCAGAAGGATTTATACCATTGAAAATGTTAATCGTAATCTGACAGGCAAAATTCACTCCATGTCAACGGGTTATGAAATCTTACAGAATGGTACTGAGAGAGTATCTGAAAGGAGTCACACTGTTGGAACTGACAATCAAACTCTGTTAAAAAGTTATGGCAGGCTAGCAGATAGAACATCAGTCCTTGAAGGCACTCTGCACGCCGTCCAAATAATCGCTAAAGATGAGAGGATACCATTAATGGAAAAATTTTAAAACTTGGGATCATATGTGCATGATGGGAACCAGAGATTAATTGGTTTGATAAAATCATAGGAAATATCCACAGGTCAAGAAATTCAGAAAAGACAATGATTCATAGATTTGAAACCATTAAAGAACTTGTCAGAACTGGCCAGGTGGTGGTGGTGCATGCCTTTAATCCCAGCACTCAGGAGGCAGAAACAGGCAGATCTCTGTGAGTTCGAGGCCAACTTGGTCTACAGGAGCTAGTACTAGGACAGGCTCCAAAGCAACAGAGAAACCCTGTCTCAAACAAACAAACAACAAAAAACAAAGAGATGGGTTGAATTCATATGGCCAGAAGGACAGAGAAGAAGGCTGAGGCCATATGTGGCAAATATAGCAGTGAATCTGTGGGGTCGTGATCTGCTGCAGCAATGGGATACCCAGATTAACATTCCTCCGGTCTCAGAAACAGACCATAAACCAATATATGTTTCTGGGAAGGATATTATAAGACACTACAAAAAAAAAGTCACCAACCATTCAGGCTGTACAAAAACACAGGCTAACAACTGGCAAACTCTCAGAGATTGCAATGACCCTACCTTTAAAATGGTTAACGAAGAAACCTATATGGGTTAAGCAATGGCCTTTAACAACAGAGAAACTGCAGACTTTAGAACAGCTGGTACAGGAGCAACTAGATGCTCAGCACATTGAAGAATCAACCAGCTCTTGGCATTCTCCTGTATTTGTTGTGAAAAAGAAATCTGGAAAATGGAGAACGGTAACAGATCTTAGAGCTGTTAATAAGATGATTTGGCCAATGGGCTCTCTACAGTCCGGCATTCCTTCGCCTTCTCTGTTGCCAAAAGATGGCCTCTTAAAGTTACTGATTTAAAAGATTGTTTCCCCCCTGTACCTTTACAAGAAAAAGACAGAGAAAATTTTGCCTTCATGGTTCCTACTTAAAATAATTCTCAGCCTGCTAAGAGATATCAACAAAGAATTCTCCTATAGAGAATGTTAAATAGCCCCACCCTGTGCCAATATTTTGTAACTTAGCCATTGGAAATGGTACATAAGCAATTTCCTGAATTTGAAGTTTACCATTACATGGACGACATTTTACTATCTGGTTCATATGTAAATACTTTAGAAAGAATGTTTGAAGAGGTAAAGAAACATTTTTCTTGTTGGGGATTATAAATTGTTCCAGAAAAAAAAATACAAAAAGGAGATCTTAGTAATTATTTAAGTTATAAAATAGGTTTGCCAAAAAAATTAGACCCCCTAAAGGTACAAATTAGGAGAGATCGATTACAAACTCTTAATGACTTCCAAAGATTGCTA